CCTATGATACAATATTCCGTATACTAACTGAGAGCGAGCACTAGTGTGTATCACTTCTGACCCTGGCATCTAACAAACAATATCGAAGCCATCATCTGAAATTAGTGACGCAACACTCCCGTTTGGATTGTAGGAAGTACTTTTCTTGGAAGCTGTTTACCCTGGAATACACTATCAGTATATTAGGTGAACGTACTAGATATAGTGACATTCGAAAGACTCATCTTTTTGATAAACCGCACACAACAGTATGATAAAGTGTGGTGGTTAAACTGCTGCTAATTCACGTTCCAGGTTGGAACATATTGATTTTACTTTTGCTTCGTATTTTCCATCCTGTGCCACTTGTGAAGTTGTTTTTTAATTCATTATACACCATTGAACGACCGGAGCTAACGTTTGGATTTTGGGACTGTGAAATTCATGTTCCTTTCACATTTCCCCAGGAGTAGTTGTACTTGATCATTCCCCACAATGGACGAGCCACAGCTTTTTGTGACTTAGATTTCAACCGGCTTTCTTGGTCGTTGTAGTATGGCAGCGGGTCTGACACTATGTTCACTTTCAGTCTCAGAGGAAGTAATGATGAATCACCACACCTTGAAGGTTTTCCTGGCTCATCAGTAGTAGGTGCCTGATGGTAGCAGGGACTGCACAATCCAAATGGCACCTCCAAAAATGCAAGCTGCTAGCTACTCACATTGGAAGCGGTTTTATGACGATCTTCTGCGATGAAAGGCTGCCAATATCCAGAGTGGAGATAGATCAACGGAATCGGCTTCGCGTTGTGAACATCAGAATATATTCTCTTCATCTTTGGCTTCTCTCTTTAGCTGTCTGAAATCAATGCAGAATCGGTTAGTTTTACCTGCCTTTTTCATCCGGAGAGGAATAGGGGCTGATTGTTCCCTTAATGATCCATTTACCCTCCATCTGTCACCTACTTATGTGCCTACGACAGGGTGTTTTGTGGCGTTCTCCTTAAGCTTGACTTGCACTGGCCCCGGGATTAATGGTATCTGGGGTTCCACCCAGTTGCAGAGTCCGTAATCGTACTTCACACCCGTGAACATGTGCGAATACCTACGCAGCTCATCCCGTATTGTGTGATATGGGCAATCAGGTAAAACCTTCACGACATCCATTATGTTAGATTATCCTGTGCTCAACTCGAGTGCATCGTTGCCCATGTCACGTTTCACATAGTATATGGCGCCCAGTCGCCTGAGACGTCGAGCTGCAAATGCCGACCTCATCGAGTGTTAAACTCTTACTAAGCACAGGTCACCAGGATGACCCAGACGAGACGTTTACGTTTACCTATCGCGATAAAAACGCTAAAATACTCAAGTTCGCTGAGCCCGTAGCTATTGATCGCACCCGCCCTGATGTTCGTGTGCAAAAACAGCTGACTGTCACACACGCTTCGATCTCGTCAAACGACAATGTGTTGGGACCTCATCATGGTAACCGAGACATGGCTGAACGACGTGATTACCGACGCTGAGATAGCACTAATCTTGCGCAACGACCGACCCACAAAGGGAGGTAGAGTAGTTCTTTACTACCGTTCCGACATTATCATCAACTGCGTAAACGACCTTGGGATTCAAACCGTGCACACCTAATGGGGCTACCTTCAACTAAGGCAGGGCGATATTTGGTTAGTGATCATTGTATACCGCCAAACAATGTCCACCTTAGAAATGGACGTCTCTGGATTCCGCACTGAAGAACCAACTGTAGCGACCTTACAGCCACGTTCTCCTGGTGGGGACTTCAATATACACGACCTAGACACCCCGGCCACTCTGGGTGAACAATTCAACGCAGATGTGCAAGAGCTAATCGCCGGTTCTCTGCTGTACAATTATATAAATTCTCCAACGCGTTTCAAAACTGGAACCAGATCGGCCATCTTGGATCTCGTCATTCCAACGAGGAACTGATAATGGTACTAGTGTTCCAATACTTATGCTATGCAAGGTATCCTGAAGAAAGTACCGAGGAACCTTACGTCGTAACCAACTATGATAACCTGCCCGAACTCATTCGTGCAACAAACTGGTCTTTCCTAGCCGAATGGACCCCTGAGGTAGCATTTGTCAACAGATTCAACAGGTTCGTGGCAAGCATATCTGAAACCAAAATCTACCGACCCAACAAGATGAAGTCATTCCTAAGCAGCAGGACTCGGAAATGCCTGGCATTGATGGACTTGGCATGGCTTGCTCACGTAGCCTCTCCGAGCGAAGACACTTGGGATATCTATAAAACACAAAGGAACCACTGTGCTAAACTCGTCCGGGAGGATAAAGTAAAAAACCAACAAGACCTAGTGGAAACATTTTGCTCTAACCCAAAGCTGCTATACAGACACGTAAACAAATTTCGCTGGGTTAAGCGTGGAATTTCTGCTCTGTATACTGCATGCGGGTTAGCACAAACGGCACAAGAGGCGGCCAACGTACTTGGACAACAATTCGGCCGTACCCCCCAAAGTGTGCAATCAACCTACAACATGCCTAGACAGTTAATGCCGCACATATCTCTTACCAACGCAGCTGTAGTGAAACGGCTGATATCCTTGCGGGAATACAGCTCCCTGGGTGTGGACGGCATACGACCAAAGGCGCTGAAATTTGCTGTCATGAGTTTAGCTGAATCCTTAGCAACACTCTTGCAGCGATGCCTTAATGAGATGCACATTTCCACGATGTGGAAGCACGGGATCATCAATTCAATTTACATAAGTGGTAGCCGTGCAGAACCAGCTAATTATCACCCGATAACACTTCTTCCGGTGATTTCCAAGATCATGAAGCATAGTGCAGCTGTGGATATCATAGAGTACCTGGAGAGTAACAAAATTCTCGTTCCGGAGCATCACGGATTTCGCCAGAATCGGTCCTGCACTACTAATCTGTTGATAGCTCGTGCAAGCTGGACGGAATCTGTGGACGCTGTTGTAGTAGTAGATTCAGCCTATCTGGATTTCTCAAAGGCATCTGACCGCCTGGACCATCGTGTTCTACTGCAAAAACTCCAGAATTATGGTATCAGCGAACTCTTTATGGGTTGGATAGGCAACATTCTTGTTCAACGTCACCTGAATGTGAGGGTTCGCAGCACACTATCTAAACCAAACGAAATTCAACGCGGCCTACCTCAGGGCTCGGTAATCGGGTCCCGCTTGTTCCTGATCTTCATAAATGATCCCGCAAGCGCACTGTCTTCAAACGGTCTGCTGTTTGCAGATGCTCTAAGGATATGGCTTGCTATCGCATTAGTAGAGGACCACACAGCATTACAGGATGATCTGGACACATGGTCCGTAGAGAACATGGCGCAGGTCAACGCCACCAAGTGCAAAACTATGAGCATACGTCATCAGAGTACTCACAGTTACCGCCTACGGCCACAAACTCTACAGCAAGCTTCTCATGAGTGCGATCTTGGCGTGCTAGTGCAAGAGGACCTTGGGTGTTTGGGGCACGCTGAGAAGGCATAAAGAAAGTGAATAAGCACTTCAGCCTTCTTCGTAGAGCTTCCGTGAAGTTTGACGCCTCAATGCTTGGCGCGTACGTAAGGCTGCATGCGGAATACGCTATTCAAGCGTAGCAACCCTGGCAGAAACACAATCACACCGCGTTCGATACAGCACAACGCAGGACGACGAAGAATGTCAGAGGTTTGTCCCGCCTTCACCACCCACGCAAAATGTACAGCGGATGTTATCGGTGTCTAAGGGGCGATATCATAATGATGTATCAGATGTTAAAAAACAAAACCTCACATTTGAAATTCAATCAAAACACAACTCTAAGGGGTCACCAGTTTAAGCTTGTCACGCAGTACAGCCAACCGTAATGTCGACGAAACATTTTCTCCATTTCGGCCTTGGAATACTCTTCGGGCGCATGTAATAAATGCCTCCACGCCTTGACGATACCTTGACACATTTACACTACGTGTTATAGCCCGTGACCATCAGATGATGGCATTAGTGCACAACAAACAGTGGACGGTATCATAAACCTCATAAAATCCAGGAATACTCCCTCATGTGCTGGTGAGTCATGTATCTCACATGTTCTTTTACTGACACCGTTTTTTTTAACTTTGTAATTTGCCCCCAAACCATCCAATCGGACAAGGCAAACATTGGCTTTTAGACAGATCATAAACCACCATTGGGGATCGTAGGGAAGGATCCACACGTACTTGCTCGGTCGTTATCATTACAATAAGCTACCAACAAACATTAGCATCTCTTCATGGGAAAAGATGCGCAGTCGCCCCAATTGTACCGGCCGTATGGACAAACGAGAGTGCCGATCCGGTAGATCCTTACAAGACCTCGGGAGTCACGGTAGAGACTTGAGAATGGAAAAGAGTAAAGCTGACACGCTTTTAACAGATAGGCAGTACCATAAGCTGGCGCGAGCAACCGAGTCGAGGGCGGCCTTCTGGTCAAGAAAAATCCACATAGTTGGTCGTCAGTGTTTCGCCGCTCTAACACACGACAAAAGCGAAAGCCAGCCTGGTTTTCAGTGATTCAGCTCTTACGAGAACTAGTAAGTCGTCGAAGACTGATACGGGTGAAAGTTAGGAGAATGGAAAGAAGGATAATATCGCGATGATTTTCCCCCTAAGTGCACTAACTCTTCTTGAAAATGGGCACGACAGTTGGTAATTGCCAGCCTGAAAGCACATCTTAAGTGTCTGAAAGCTTGTTGAATAGAGCAATCATTCCAGTCCACAAAAATCACCCCCATCTTTCAGCAGGGGCCCTGTTCCATTTCAACAGAGCGAACTCACATTGAACCTCATCATCTAAAGTGAATGTGACGTCGACATCCCATATTGCGTCAGGTGATGCAGCAAACGGTAGCGTCGCAGCAAGACCGCTGAATCGCTCTTTATACACATGAATTGATAGTGGATGTAGTAAAAACACGAATCACGGTGGCAAAATAATTTTTATTGCAAGGGGGTATCACATTTACCGAGTTCGAAACGGACTGGGCTCAGAAGTCACTAAAGCTTTTTAAACAATGTCGCTAGGTTCTCACTGGATCATGCGATTGAACAGAGTTATGACTGATAAACTCGGCATAATGTTTACAAGTATGGAAGAACCGACACTGCACAATCAAACACGGACGACTTTGGAGATAAGTATAAAAAAGAACAAGATTTCAATGAATGGAGAAAAGATATCAGGAAATACGGGTGCTATTTAGCAGTAAAATGCCCTTGATTACTAAATTGGGTGTCAAAAAGCACGGTCGAATGCAAGAAGTGATTGGTGACGAAAGAATCTGCCACCATATGTTGGTAAAAATGAGACATAAAGAAAGAGTTCACAGCGCTCTGCATGTGTGGAGTCGCTCCAGATTGTCTAGATGTGCACTCGTTCGATTTTCCAAGCTCCGAGGGAGTACCGCAGGCGAATGAGCAATAGATCCTTAGCCATCTGTAGCCATGAGAAGAAGGGCACCAACTTGGACCCTAAAATGTTGAAAAAAACGTTTTAGATTTATTCACGATGTGCACGGACAAAATTTCTTAACTGTCGTTTAGTCCATAACAGTCGTTCAGTTAGAGCTGTCGGCAATTCGGAGGAAGAAAAAGCTATTAGTGAAAAATGCAGTATCCAAATGCACGTATAATAACTAGAAATCGTGAATCAGAGGGGTCAAGAATGCGTGTTGATCACCGGTAGAGCGATAGACAGGCAGATAAAATGAATATGGCATTTCACTGTAAGGCTACGTGTTAGACCAGCACTAAGGTGTAGCATTTATGCGGGAACGCCCGGGTAGCCCATAGTTCCCTAATACAAATTAGTTGTAACTTGCGATTCGGTAGGTTCTACGCACTGAACATGCATAACCTCGATTGCAACCGCATTTCGGCCAACTCGCATTCAGTCGTACTTGGGAAATATGAGCTCCCCGAACGTTTCCGTATAAAGTATACACCTTAGTGTCTGACATATATATATGTATATCCGCGGCTATTTTAGTATAATCAAAATTAAAGCTGGATTTTAGTAACGGGGAGGTCAGAATTCTCAAGGAATGACTGGATATACGGTGGGGCGCTGAGTCTATGATTGGGGAACAAAAACAGAAAATGGAAGACCAAAGCATAGATATAAGGCCCTAACTAGAGAGCATAATGAACATCGGGTGAAAAAGGGAGCGTGAAATCCACTCAAGTGACCCGAATAATGACCCAGAAAAGTCACAACGGAATACTGACAAGGTGCCCACCTGTCTATCACCCATCACCTCGTCTATACTGGCTCTAAGAGACAATCGATCGTTGCTAGAGGGGACGAGGTGCACGGTAATCGTGAGTCAGGCTGTTGAGGCAAAGGCTCCGGGCGGATTCCCTCAAGCGAATCTTTATTTCTGCCTAGTGGTCCAGGCTATTGAGTCAGTCTCTGGATGGAGTCCCTCAAGCCTATCTCTAAGTACGCCACTGCTTTGTGGGTCAGACTGTTAAAGTCAAAGGCTAGAAGCAGGTCACCTCGAACAAAACCCCTCCCTCGGAATGGGCGGCTGGAGAGTATCATCCGCCTTCTAGACCCCGTCGACAATCCTCCCTCCTCTTATTCAGGTTTTTCCCTTTCATCTCCTCTTCCCAACTATTAAGCAATAGATCGCCACTGACCTCGGAGCTGCTGCCTGGTTGCATTTCACATTGGTTGCTTTAAGATCCGCACTCTAAGTCAGATCAGCCAGGAGGCAGCACTGACTCTTACCCTTCACTCTCTTGATATTGATGTGTGCTGTCTCCGAAACACGCATACAAAATAACAGCGTCATGTATTGTCTTCGACTCCCTGGCACTGAATCTGACGACGATGGCTACACTTTTCGCGTCTCTGGCGATACCCAGTCAAAGGCTCAAGATATTTACGGTGTTGGTATTGCCCTCGGCAAGCATGCTGAAGGCAATCTGCTCGACTGGATCCTTGTGAACAACCACATGTGCGAGGTTCGAATTCGAACCTCTGTTGGAGCTAATAAGCAGCGTCTGAAGCCAAGGTGCCTTTTCATCTCCTCAGTTTATGACCCTAGGGAATGCAGTTCAGAGGGTATCAAACACGATTCCCATCGACAGCTCTCATCTCTTCTTCGCATGGCGAAGAATACTGACAGTGTGGTTGTTGCTAGTGACATGAATGCCCAAGTGAGTCGGCTTTTAAACTCTGAACAACACCTGGAAGGCCGCTTCGGGGATCCGATCCTGCAACTGTACGCCGACCACAACCGCTGCTCTACGCTACTGCACGCCACTCAACTACGCGCTGATGATGTCACCTCTATTAGTGACGAAACGTTTGCAACAAAATTGCCAAGCTCAGAGAACAGTGCAACCGCCGCAACCTTCACTTTAGCAGCACTGCATTCCAGCACAAACGTCCACACTGTGTCACCTTGCGCCCACCGAATCCCTCAATGACCTGGACCCAAATTGACCATATAGCCAACAGCTACAGATGGCGCACATCAGTACAAGACTGACGGTCAATTTGGACCACATGCCTGGATTCCGACCATGCTCTAGTGCGCGCACGCTTGGCATTCAATGTTCCCGCTTCAAAGAAGCGCCTAACTTCTCACCTTCATATCTGTAATTGGAACTCGAAATCTGCAGTTCAACAACATAACGATGAACTGGACCACCTGATGTCAGTGATAAATTAGGTGGGTGAACCGAATGCTGACTGGGATTGTCTCAAATGTGCTATGAAGAATGTCTTTTATGCATGCTGTGCACCCAAGTTGAGATATCGTAACTGCGAATGAATTTCTGAGGCATCAATCAGCTTGATCGAAGCACGGGAACAAGTTCCGATGGGCAATGAGTTGCAGCGTGTCCGTAACGCTCTGAAACGACGCATCGCAAGGAGTCTTCGAATCGACCGGGAGCGTTGGTAGATAGTAAGGGCCCGTGAAACGGAGAAAGCTATTGGGAACAGCTGAGTGCTATTCCAAATCATCTGGAACACGGGTCCAAGAAACGCATCCGTTGACGAGACAATAGCTGTGAAAGACTGGCAGCTGGTACATTCTCAGCGTCGTCGACTAGCCTGTTGGGCGGAACATTTTGAACAGCAGTTCAGCCGGCCTGATGTGACACTGCCGCTTGCAGAATCGCCTGAGCCGTCGTGGGAAGTAGATGTCACATCTCCCACTGAAACGGATTCGATATGATCTTCCCGTGTTGAAACGAAACAGCGCACCCGGCTCCGACGACCTTCCTTTATCTTTGTTGAAAGATGGCAGTGACCCTCTGTTGGCTGAACTTGCTACTCTAATTAGCACGATTTTGAACAGGTAGCTTCAGACTACTGACTCTTAACTGTCGTGCCCATTTTCAAAAAGAGCCAGCGAACATTGTGTGCAAATCATCGATGCATCAACCTTGTTTCCACTGCATCCAAACTCCTCACGGGTATCATTCTCCAACGACTTAGTGGTTTCGGTGAGGACCGAATCACTGAAAGCCAGGCTGGCTTCCGCCTTGGTCGGGGTTGTATCGATCACATATTTACTCTTCACCAAGTGTTGGAGCTGAGATATACATACAGACGACCGACCCTGGTCATTTTCTTTGACTTGAAAGCTGCCTTCGACTCTGTTAACCGTGCCAAATTGTGGCACTGCCCATCCATGAGGGGCGTGCCGGCTAAATCCTTTTCCATTCTTAAGTCACTCTACCGTGATTCCCGAAGCCGAGTAAGTGTCTACGGGAAACTGTCCCCTGAGTTCCCCACGACAAGTGGGGAAATGATCATGACTGAGACTGTATTTTCAAACTCTACCGGAGTGAAAGTTCTACCAGGTGATCGAATGACAAATCTGGTGTATGCGTACGACGGCTCTACTTGGGTCCGACGCAGTGGATATGCAAACACTGCTGTCTAGACTGACGCGTAGCGCCGCACGCTTCGGCACGTGCTTTGCACCTTCAAAGTGCATAGTACTGCTGCAAGACTGGACCGATGCACCTCCGGTTCCAGCTATTACCGAACAGCCACTAGAAGTGATGGAGCGGTTCACTTACCTTGGTAACTGTGTCACCTCTGGTGGTCATTTCATTAAGTAACTTCGCATATCAGCAATGCCCGTGTGACTTACCAGAGGCTCAAACATCTACGGAGACGGCAAGATATCAGCTTGTCAGTGAAATGTTTGGGTGTATATCGCTGCGGTAAGGCCGGTCTTACTGCATGGATCAAAGACCTGATCAGTTCGCAGCGCAAACATTAAACGCTTGGCTGCGTTTGATAACCGGTGCTTGCGTAGTATTAGTCACGTCTGGTGGGAACACCGGATAAGCAATACTGGGATCCGCTAGTTGGCTTTTGGCAAAAAGCATTGTGGTGCCTCACTCGTGTTTGTTGAATCTTAGTCGCTTACGCTGATTAGGCCATATTCTCCGTATGCCCGTTGACCGGCTTCTTCGGCGTGCATTATACGCCGTGGCTGTACCAAGCTGGGTGAAAGCGAGAGGTGGCCAGTCCCTGATGTGGCATAGTGGGATGAAGAAATTGACTGAGAGACCTGGTCGAGCTGGTGCGTGCAGTCCTTGTGGATGGGGACCTCGGGATGGTCCACACCAATGGTTGGAGACCGTGTCAGACATGACGCAGTAACGCAGTCAGTGGCGTTTTCGCATTTAGTGTCTTGCGTCTGGCCGTTAACTTTCGTTCCATTCTGATTAGTTTAACATAGTTCTCTCTTGCTCCCATTTTCTTCACATGCTACTTGCCATTAGCCGCAAAATCACCGTTGTTATTTATTGTGATTTTTGCGATGTGAGTCATGGCAACTGGATCCACCGCACTTCGGTTATCGGATCACAGTTGATCAACTGAATTGAACTGAAGTGTCTCGTGATGGTGCTAGGCTCAAAGAATGGGTCCATGCACTGTGTGGAGCGAGTTACAATCCAGCCACCGCCTTAAGTACGTCTAGTACGCATGATTCCCCCCCCCCCCTAGGTAGACAGAAATTCTGTGGCTGTGCATAGTGAAGGAGTGTGGGCAGGCTCCGTTGATGAAACGTGGCTCTCATCCACATGCCTCCCGCCGCCAACCATATGCAGCCAGTGTCCTCGCATAAGAAGGGATATAGTCTGATTGCCACAAGTGTCAGTGAGACGCCGCTAGTGAGCAGTTTAGAAGTAAGTACAATTAGGTTAGCAGGTCGATGACCTCCAGAAACGTTACGTGACTCATTTGAAAAAAGGGGATGTGGGTGGACGACCGCCTGGCTGGAAGCGCCTCTTTCGTACAGTGTTGAACAGAACGACTAGCACAGTCAAAAATTGGCTTACCTTTTTATTTGATAGAGAAGTAAGTTCATCGTTTCAAAAGAACTCATGCAAATCGAATCCACTCCGAAACAAGTGTGACATCAACGCGTAGTGCAAGTGAGAAAGTAGACCAGAGAAACTGCTCCTAAATCACTCCATTCAACGAACTGGAC